AGTCACAAGAACGTCGAATCTGAATCACTTGAAAAAACAAACGGTGGTGCTTAACTTTTTTCCAGGTGTATATATATATATATCGCAGACATCTAAAAGGTACGAGCTGACTATTACATGAGCAGGTCTATAGTGAAAACAGAGGAACTGAATAATCCAAAAGGCAGACATTGTGACCTAATGTTTCTGTAGATGTGATAAGTAGTTTAGCCCACTAGCCATTCACTCACCAAATTACATTTAGAAACGATCACAGTAGACAACCTTTGATTTGGATTGTCTGTCACCTCAGATTCCATAAACCACATTAGATTATTTTCAGTAAAACATATGGTCCTTCCAAAGACTTCGTCCTTTCTTGTAGCAATGCTTGTTCATTCATAACATGTCACCTTGGTGAAATCCAGTCTTACTAGAACTAACATCATAGAATATTATCATTAGTTGATTCAAGGGTTTTAGATTAAAGTCATGTTTGACCTTTATGGTGATCCTTATTCCCTCTATATATTCTATAAAACTCTGCTGAGTGCCTGGTCTGTAGATGAGAATACATGAGGTCCAATGGCACTTCTGAGTTTTCTTCCAAACATCAGAGATGATGGTGTACTGCCTGAAGGTCCATGTAGATGATGGTGTATTGCCTGTAGCTTCGTGTAGATGACAGTGTATTGCCTGAAACTTCATGTAGAGGATGGTGTATTTCCTGAAGCTTCGTGTAGATAATGGTGTATTGCCTACAGCTTCGTGTAGATGATGGTGTATTGCCTGTAGCTTCGTGTAGATGATGGTGTATTGCCTGTAGCTTCGTGTATATGATGGTATATTGCCTGTAGCTTCATGTAGATGATGGTGTATTGCCTGAAGGTTCATGTAGATGATGGTGTATTGCCTGTAGCTTCGTGTAGAGGATGGTGTATTGCCTATACTTTCATGTAGAGGATGCTGTATTGCCTGCAGCTTCGTGTAGAGGATGGTGTATTGCCTGTAGCTTCATGTAGAGGATGGTGTATTGCCTGTAGCTTCGTGTAGATGATGGTGTATTGCCTGAAGCTTCATGTAGAAGATGGTGTATTGCCTGTAGCTTCATGTAGAGGATGGTGTATTGCCTGTAGCTTCATGTAGAGGATGGTGTATTGCCTGTAGCTTCGTGTAGATGATGGTGTATTGCCTGCAGCTTCGTGTAGAGGATGGTGTATTGCCTGTAGCTTCGTGTAGATGATGGTGTATTGCCTGTAGCTTCGTGTAGATGATGGTGTATTGCCTGTACTTTCATGTAGAGGATGGTGTATTGCCTGCAGCTTCATGTAGAGGATGGTGTATTGCCTGTACTTCATGTAGATGATGGTGCATTGCCTGAAGCTTCATGTAGATGATGGTGCATTGCATGTAGCTTCTTGTAGATG